TTTATTTGCTAATAAGGACCTAGGATATATTTTGAAACTTGGTCCTTCTTTGGCTCTAATTCTCACATGCGTAATGACCATTTTGCCCTTATAGTATTTGAAAAAAAAGGCGTATACGAAGCTCCTCTCAGGTGTGCGATCCTTTGCAATCCAACATTCAATTTTGTTTGGTGAAGCTTCAAGACTGATCACCAAGTTGAAAACTTTGTTAGGTAGGCTCCTTGCATTTTTGACTTTATTAGGTAAGTTATTCTTTGTTTTTTAGTATTTATTTAGTGATAGTTGAATTTCAATTTGAGTTTTAGATTTTTGCTCAAAGAGTTTGAAAGAAGTTGAGTGAAGTATCTGCGTTACTACTTGCTCCTCCCATAAGTGTATTTCCTCACATTGCAGAGGTTGGTGACACTTCATATAGACTTCAATGGAATGATGTTATAATTTTTTGTTGAAGGATGGTTTTTTCCTTTGACATTTGAAAATTGCAGGTTTATATAATATCCTTATAAGCCTTAAGAGAAAGGAATGGAAAGAAATATTTTGCTACTTTTATGTAAGAGAAAGGATTGTTATTAATGAAGGGAGGGTATAATACACTAGTGGTAGAGCAAATGGAAGGATAGTAAGTACTTTGATGTCAATTGATGAATTAAGAAGTAAAATATGATCATTTATTGAGTATGAACTTAAAGGATTGGAATTGAAGTGCACACTATAAGAATTAAATGAAACCACCCTAATAGACTTGAAAGATGATAGAGGAGCTCAACACTAGTTGAATTTAATGAAAAATTTGCACCTGTTTATATAGTTAAATGTGTAAATATGTGTAGAAATGAAATTGAACCTATACTAATTCGTCAAGGGTTAGATTATATAAAAACATTATTTAGATTATCTGTTGTTAGATCTATGTCAAATAAGAGAAATGAAGAACTCCCATGTTTAATTCAAAGTACACCTGCTCCTTTTCCTGAGCATGGTGCAGCCAAGTGGAAGGACTTGCTTTTGGACCCTAGACAAACATTCAATAATATAGACATATTCAAGGAATCATTGTACAAGTATAGTTTGGTACACAAGTTTGTGCGCAAGTATGTGAAGAATAATGTAAGAAGTATAATAGTAAAGTGTATATTTAATGGGTGTCCATGGAAGATAACTGCTTATGCAATGAGTTATGATTTAAAGTTCTTTTATGTGTATTCCTTGAAGAATGAGAACATTTACTCAGCTCAGGATAATCTCATAGTTTGTCAAAAATTCACCTTTATGTTGGCCTCATTTTCCTTCAAAGATGGCTTGAGGTGTTCATTGGATAAAGCACAAAATGAGATGAAGTGAGACATGTATAAGGACTATGGTCTTTCATTGTCTTATGACCAAGTATGGAAAGGAAAAGAGCGATCATTGGTAGATATGCAAGGATCTCTTATCTAATCTTACCTGTTGATTCCTTGATTTTGCTAAAAATTAGTGGAAGCCGACCCAGCAACTATGTCTAAATGGGCATCATCAATTGACCACAAATTTCAAAGGTTGTTTATATTATATGGATGTTATATATAAGGGTTCTTGAATGGTTTTTGGCTTATATTATACATTGATGGATGTCACTTAAGTGATCCATGTCGGGGTATTATGTTGGTTGCTTTTGCACATCATGCTGATAATGAGCTTTTTCATATCACATATGTTGTCACGAGTGGAGAGACCAGTGAGGAATGAAACTTGGTTTATGTAGAATATTAAAGGCATTGTAGGCATTCTGGAAGTTACAATAGTATTGGATAGGCATAATGCAATAATGCATGCTGTGACAGCTATCTTTCAGCATGAGAGGCATGCTTCTTACTATAGGCACATTAAAGAGAACTTTAATACAGGGTATGGAAAATTTTTTCAAGATGCTAGATGTAATACTCGTATGAGGAAGGAGAATGCATTGAAATTGTTAGATGCAATTGCATATGCTAGACTTGATGGTGAATATGATAGAGCAATGGCAAATATGCATTTCTTTTGTTTTCAATTGAGCAAGTGGATTGAAGATTATGGTGAGATTGATCATTGGGTATTGTCAAGGTTTTCATTTTAGAGGAAGACAATTTAACCTTACATCTTGTTGAGTCCTACCATACATGTCTTGTGACTGAGAGAAAACATCAAGTGGTTACATTATTAAATGAGCATAGAGAGAAGCTCGCTAAAAGGATGTTTGCTAGCAAGGAAGCAATTAAGTTTTGGAGTAATGGAGATTTCCTTAACATAGAAGCTAAATTGGAGCATGTATTGCCTGCAAAAAAGATGGTGATTGGATAATATTCAAACCATATGTTCGAGATTGTATTTAGAGAAGTTCATATGTCTGTTAATCTCGCACCAGGGAGTGCACTTGCAAGGCATGACAAATGTCTAGTATATTATGCCCACATGCATGTTTAGCTATCAAATATGTTAGAGGTAATACATACACGAATGTTAAAGAGTGTTATAAAGCTAGTTCATAAGAGAAAACATATAATAGAACTATGATGCTAATTGACATTGATGACATGCTAAAGCTAAGTGACTTGTAGTGGAATAATTATGACAATGTGACTTTCTTGTGACCCTTGACAACAAGTTGTCATCTTGAAAGACCTCATATAATTAGAAGAGGGTCGCAATATCAAAGCAAGAAAGTGTACAAATGTTTAAAGTGCACAAATGTTCAAGGTGCCATTGGAAGGGCATACTTAAAAAGGTGTAGGAATTCCAATCTTGAATGAACACCCATTCTTCTAGTATACAAGATCTTGTTTTGGGTCTTGGTGCACTTGATGGTCTATTCTGTTAATGTTATTTTTGTGTTATTGTACATAGTTCTACCCTTATCAATGTTTTTTTTTTTGGATAATGGGGAAGTAGGAGATGACATTTTGTATATATTGTGTATGATATTGTACATGAACATTCATGTTATTTTTTGATAGTTGGCATGGCCATTTGATATATATTATTTTTGTAAAATGATTGTAAATGTCAAAATTAGTGAATGTACTTTGATCACATTAATGAAATGATATTATCTTGTTGTTGTAAACCAAATTTAGAAACAATTATTTAAATATTATTTCCCCATATCCTAAAAACATGCACAGTTCATCTCATTTATTTGAATAATGATGGTCACAGAGGCTGTGCTTCCCTAATGAATCTTGCATTATTCAAATAATGCATACGGATATTCTGAAAAATTAAGTCACAGAGGCTAAGTGGATCATTTTTATCTGAATATGATAAATTAATATTTTAAAAATTGAAGTCATAGAGGTTGAATAGACCACTTTTATTAGAATATAATAAACTGATAATTTAAAAATTGAAGTCATTGAGTGAACCACTTTTGTTTCAATATGATAAATTGATGTTTTGAAAACTAAAGTCACAAAGGCTGAATGAACCAATTATATTTGAATATGATAAACTGATATTCTAAAAATACACAACTTGGAGTCTCTGTAGCAATTAGTAACCTTGTGTTATTCGAATAAGAAATTTTGATATTCACATGTTATATTCCACTTTACTCAAATAACATGTGATATTCGAATCACAAGACACTTGGATTTGATCTGAAACATTTGATGCATGGGGTTTTCTCTATATGCATGTGGTCTTTCACTATGTGCAGCTATTCTTCAACAATATGCAAGAAGCATCAACATTATTCGAATAACATGTTGTCATATTCAAATAACACTCCACTTGGATGCATTCTAGCTTAACTTGCACCACAATATATTAACAACTATCTGTAATATATTAACAACTTATACTTAAGCTATTAACAATATATCTTGGCATTTTATAATAGAATTATCAACTCAACTTGCACTATATGCAACATATTGACAACTATCCATAATATATTGATAACTTATGCTTAGGCTTTTAACATCACTTCTTGTCATTTTATAACAAATTTATCAGCTCAACTTGAATTACACAGAGCATATTGACAATTACCCATAGCATGTTGACAACTTATGCTTAGGCTATTAACAACACATCTTGCCATTCCATAATAAATTTATCAACTCAACCAAGTAGAACTATAATCTCGAATACACCATTATAAATGGAAGGCCTGTGATTGCTCAACACAAATATACCACATAAAGAGAGAAAGAGAGACCCCTAAACTAATATACTCATAAAGAGAGAAAGAGACAACCCATGTAGTTTTATTTGACTAACAAACAATACAAGACTAGATTAAATGATTAGCAAAGAACATATGCAAATCAATCTCATCATGTACCTTGTTCGGTGCGGTCACAATAACACCAAATTGAAGGTTGAAGCTCGGCTTTTCTTCCTTGATGAACTCTTACAATTGTAAACACCAAACACACTTAAAAGATCGAAGATGCAGCAATATGGGATGGGAGGATAATAGTGGATTCATATTTTAGCAACAAAATGATCTTACCTGGCTTACTTTTTTAAAGACGATCACGAGAGCTCAGTTCGTTATCTCAACTGTGCGAAAAATTGTTTTTCTTTTTTCGTTCTTTCCTTTTGTTTTAGTCAAGGCAAATGTGTAATTTTGCTGATTGAATTATTCACACTAAAGGACTAAGAAACTGCAGAAGATTCTCTCTCTTTAGTGGAATTTGGTTGTATTTATATTTATTCTATGGGATCTAAATGTGATTTTTTTCAACCAAAAAACAAAAAAAATCGGTGAAGGCCACTTTCACTATTATTTTCTAATATTTTTTCTAATTTTCTAAAATTATTACAGATGATGTTTGGCAATTGCAAAATTCCCATAGATCTGTGGGGAAAAAAATTAAAGTTCTGTTAAAAAATGTAAGAAAAATAAAATAAAATAAAATGAGTTTGAAAATTTTCGTTGACCGTTGAGCTAATTGGTTATGGTCCTATGGAATACTCCTTTATGCTGACCAAAATTAAGTGCTGTGAGTTTTGTTTTACTAGAAATAAAAATCCCTCCACGCGCTTTCTTGATTCTTCGTCCTTTCTGTGGGGATATCGTGTCCTTTGCAATGAACCAAGTAATGGGCACTGTGAGGACCTCATTCGAATTCGGAAATTTCCTTTTTCTTGCCTTCTTTTTTCCCTTCTAGCTCTCACTACGGCCACTCTATTATCATTCTATTTTGTGTAACTGTCTCGTTTATCTCATTGGTGGCGAAGAGCTTGTGGGATTCGAGTTCTTCGAAGTGAAATGGGTTTAGTTATAGGTTTGATTCTCTTTGGATTTGTTCTTGGGGTGGTGGCCGTCGTTGCTGCTGAAGCTTTTGGATTGTACCTGATCATTATATGGTTGGGCACCAAGGCTAAACGAGACGAAACTGTAACAGTATCAACATCGAAATCACACGAGGGTATTGCAGAGCTTGATCTCCAGCAATCGTTAAGTTTTGCAAAGAATAAGCAGGTTAGTTCTTTTTTATGGCCGGCTTTGCTAAAGATTTTTGTCGTCATGTGTTTGTCCTGATCAGAAGTAGAAAGAAAAATAAAATGAAAATCGGGTTTGTCTTGATTCTTAAGCCAATTATGGTCAACTTAATTGCTAAGACAGTGAATTCAAATGAGAGATTATGTGCTTAGGTTTTTATTTTACCTTTTTTGTTGTTGTTGTTGTTGGTGGTGGTGGTGGTGGTTTGCTTCTTTAGCTGATAAGCAATTATTTCACGTAAGTTTATTTCGACATTACCATCATCGTCTCAAAGCAGATAATGGCATAATGCATCAAGTTCCGTGAAACTGCTTTGACATTTTGCTTTTTGCGTTTCTTTCTGACCGGTTGAGTTTTGTATTTCCCGGTAATAAAAAATAGAACAAGAGTTCGGTGATAGAACGTTTTGCACCAGAGAAGATGGAACAAAAGGATATAGTGGCGATAGAGAGAAATAGTAGTTGCTTACAATGTAATAACACCGGTCAGATAGTTGTTGACTACTAATTGACTTCATTAACTACGAACAGAAACAGGTGCTAACTCTGACAATACACTAATTTTCCTTTCTTGATAATTTTGATCTACCACATTTCTAGAGTAATTCCCCCCAAGACAAGGCAAATATATTGGCGGGAGTTTGCCAAAAACAGCTTGGAAGCAAGTCATTCGAATGGCCTAATGGAAAAAGTAGTATTATTCCACAACTCAGCCAATGGCATCCACCTCAACCACTGTTTTGGGTGGTTCCCAGTCATGGAATGAAGGTGGCACTCCAAACTTCTATTTAACACTACTTCTTGTTCATTTAATTAAGGATTAGGCCGAAGGGTATGCAATTTCAACCTTGTAAAACTGTAGTAATTCCTTCCAAGACTCACCACAACAGATTGGGTCCGTATCCATGACAGTAGATTCCATGAAAATCTGGGCTACATCTACTGCCGAATGAGGTTGTTGGACAGCCATCAAATGAGTAGCCTTTTTCACCATTTCAGCTACAACAAAAAATACAGGCTTACTGTATTTTCTCTCATTGTCTGAAGGGCGATCTTCAAATGCCTCAAATCATTCTCTCGTGATCTACTGTACTAAAATGTGCTATAAAAAAGATAACAAAGTAAGTCTTCTCATGAAACTCTTAAAACAACTTTTGTTAGTCTTTGAAATATTTCTGGGCCGTTTGTTCGCCCAAATGGCATCTCCAATGTTTTCATAAGCATGAAAGTATGTCTTGTGAACATCCTGAGGTCTCATTATAATTTGGTCGTACACAGCCTTAAAGTCCAAATTCGGAAAGAACTTATTTCAATGTAACTCATTCCACAACTCCTCATAACTGGCATGGGAAGTTTATTTTTTTATTGCATAGTCATTTAACTTCCTGTAGTGAATGCAAAAACGTTTATGATCCATCTTTTTTCTTTACAAAGATTAAAAGTGAGGCACAGGCACTGCAGTTGTCTCAAATCATGCCATCCAACATCTTTTTAACGTGTTTTTCAATTTTAGTTTTCCAAATTGGACCTTAAAGTGTATTTGATTGACTCTCCACTATGTTTGATGATCCAATTACGCATAGGCTCCTAAAGAACATCATTATATTCTAATGAAACTTCCTGTTGCCGGCCTTCAAGTTCCCCCATTTCTTGTGCTAATGTCAGCCCTTTCTCTTGATGGCTGAGGGTTGACTTGAATGAGCAAAGCTTGCTGCACTAGCACTATCTAGTCTTCTTTAAATTTCTGCTCTTTGAACGGTGGTTTGGATTGATTGACTCCTGTAATTTCTTTCCACCTGTCATTCAACATGGAAGTCATTACTTCTTGTTTCAAGGCCCATATAATTTTCCCAAAAATAGACAACCACTTCATGCTCAGTATCATATTGTATTTTCCTAACTCCATGAGGAAGAAGTCAACCTTGAAATAGTTACTTTTGCACAGACTGCTTAGTCTCTTCAAACTTTTCCTCTACCTCGATTTTTTGCTCATTTCCTAGGTCACTCTTGCACCTTCAGCTTTTTGCATCTTAAGTTTCAGTTTATATGTCTGATGACACATCAAATAAAGTTGTCTGCCGCCAGTATCCTTCAATGTTACCACTGACAGCTATTTCTCTTTACCTTCCACATTCTTTGTTGAGTGACTTTTGGTTCGCTCAATTGCATTCAGTGAAACTATTGCTTCTTGTTGAGAGCAAGTCCTTGAACTTTTGTTTGATGCATTAAGCATCCTGAAATCCATCTTCACACCGTTGCACTATTATTATGAAGACTTGTGGCCTGTTTGGTTTGATTTAGTGCAAGAGGATTACATGTAATCCTGATGCACTGCTCCCATTCATGTTGTTTGGTTGGTCCATTGTAATGTAAAGGAGATTACGTCATGCAAAGAGGATTACCTCAAATGGTATACTGGGGATTACATTACTCGACCTCTGTAATCTCCATTTCTACTACCTTCAATCCACTTTTATACCAAAATACCCCCACTTTATGGTTTCTTCTAACATTAGATTTTCACTCACCCTCCTTCTCCATCAATAGCATCCCACCCTCACCCTTCTCATCAACGGCATCTTCCCACCTCCCATCCTCCTTTTAGTCACCATCTTCCCATGGAACAAATTTGGGTTCGGGCTCCATATCCTCCTTCAGCCACCGTCCTCACCCACTGACTTCTTTCTCTCATCCGTATCCCTCCTTCAATGCCAGCACAGCACAAATCTAGATTGCCAATGATGATCTCACCTCCACCTTTGTCCATTTCATGCCACCTGCTTCGATCGTTGTGGTTTCCATCAATCTCGTTATCAAGATCTAAATTGATGACGATGCTGGTTGATTTTTCTGGGCTTTAATGTTGGCTCTGAAATTTTGTAGTCTTTTGGATTTGAAGGTTGACTTTGCTGCAGTGGAAGAAAATGGGAAATAATTTTTTTTTAATGTATATTGGCTCTTCAATACTTGGAGAAGCTGAAAATGGTGAGGACCAAGAGGGGATATGAATTTTTGTGAGGAGGATGTTTGTGCGTTTTTTCTTTTTATGTTAATTTAATAAAATATAAATAATAAATTTGATTCCCATGTATCTAAATATCATACCAAACAAGTTTATGTGATCCCCATTGCATTAGATTCCCAAAAATTCAGTAAACCAAACAGGCACTTGGGACCCCTTGCATCTGTTTCTGAGGAATGTCATTCAGGACACCAGCAACATCCTGCTTCCTTTAATTTCTTTCTGTGTGAGCTGCTTGATGTCCTTATTGCTAGCGCAGGAGCTTGCCCTAGTACTGGATTACAGCTATCTGGCACATTTCCAAATATGCTGGTTTCTTCTCTCTGTGTGTGAGTGTGTTTTAATTAAAAAAAAAAAATCTATCATGCTGATTTTTTACTCATTCATTTGTTAACCTTGATAATTTTTGTTTGAATTTTTAATACTATTTATTTTAGCTTGTGACGTACTCCCACATAGACTGTTGTAGGAATCTCTTAAATTGTTCTTTTCTAACTAACATTAGCTTTATCTTTCAGGTTGTGGTTTAGGGTTCTAGTTTTAGTCATGCTGGTTCCTTACTGACTCATTTCTGAACCAAGCTAATTTTTTGTAGGTTATATTAATTCTCCTTCTTCCTCTTTAATTTTCAATGGACATTGCTTTTTGTTTGTGACATGATCCCACGTATACTATGCAGAAGGCATCTCTTTGAAATCATACTTCTCTAAACCTAACCACGACCTTTATCTTTCAGGGTCTGATTTGGGTTCTTGAATCTGACAAAATTCCAGAAATCCCACAGAACAAACCATCAAAGGATAAAAGAAGAAAAAATGAAATCTTGGAGGTTTCTCCTGTTAAAAAGTATGGAAAAATTAAGGGTCAATCACTGATTCTGACAGACCCTGATGGTTTGCACACACAAGTTCCGCTGAAGGGATGCATAGTGGAAGCTGTTTCAGCAACAAACCTATCTTCAAAAAAATGGTATTGTGATCTGGATGCCTTATTTTATTAGGTGATATTTTATCATTTGAATCCATGATTGACATCATGTGGCTTACTTTCCACTTTAAATGCAGTAATATTATCTTTGTGGGGCCTTTGGGTGATGTGAATATTTTCCACATTTATTATTTTTTAATTATGTCTTTTACGGAGTATAAACTGTCAATTGTTAAATGAATATTATAACTGTAGTTATTACCCAGCAAAAAATGGCATTTCTTTGAACCCTAGCACGTATTACATGCAATGCCATCAACCTTGAGCGGAATTTCAATTTGTACAAAACCTGTTTTGCAATTAATTATGCTAGACTTAGAGAATAGTTTTTCCTTGTATAATTAATTCCAGGAGCTTCTGTTCTTTTCAGAAGGATAAATATTGTGGGTATCATTTTGATTCAACAAATGATTTACCATTATCACATTTTGGAAATGGGTTTCTGTCCAAACTTCCTATGATGCTTAATTTTACGTGGAGAAATGATTGTTACCATGTGTCTAGTTACATGTTAGTTACCTTAAATATACTGGTCATAGATGTGATTATAAGTATTATGGGTTCAATGATAGTGAAATGATTCATCTCACTTCTTCTATTGTAAATTTATTGAGAATATGTGCTCTAATTTCTTATCTGATTGTAATGGATCCTGCAGGGCAAAAAAGTTTCCCATTAAGGTGGAAAGCAAGACCTCTGCAGTATACAATGGAAGAAAATCCTTTTATGTATATCTTGAAACTTCCTGGGATAAGGAAGCATGGTGTAAGGCACTCCGTTTGGCTTCGTGTGATAAAGAACAGAAGGTTGAATGGTTTGCTCAGTTGCATGAAGAGTTCCGTAGTTATCTAGCATCTCTCAATGCTGAATATAATACATTTTTTAAACCAACGGTAGGGTCTAGTGTTGAGTTGGAAAATAGGGCTATCAAACCTGATGGTGCTTCCTCCAAGGTTCAAAAATTTCTGAAAAAAATTGCAAAAAAGTCTTCCAGAGTTGGTTTGGATAATAAATCATCTTGGTCTTCATTGTCAGGCCGTGATGAAAGAAAGAATGCAGATATCTTATTGAAGAATGCTTCAATGGCAAAGAGTCTTAGGCATCCTGTGGAAGACAATGCTCCACTGTCATCATCTACGTTATCTCATTCAAGAAGCCAGAGTCATGCTTCTATTAGCTCTGACGTTGATTCTGATGAGAAGTTTGGTATAGATGAGGGAACATTATGTTGGAATTTGTTGATTTCTCGATTCTTTTTTGATGCCAGAAGCAATGCTAAGCTGAAGGCATTCATGGAAGCAAAAATTCAGGTTTAAGATTTTCCTAGATGATACTATATTATGTGAGTTTGAGTTAGTTGACGTATGCTTGAGGAAGATGGAGATGGTCTTGTTTAAGTATCGATCTCTGTGACCTTTTCTACTTTTGTTTTTTAATTGATTAGTTACTGATTCTTACTGGAAGCATCAGTGAAGGATATTTTATCCCTGGAGCAAGTAGTCACCGAACTGGACACTTTATTTATTTATTGCACTGTATTGTTTTTAGAAACAAGTTGATGTGTACATGACAGAGCATGTTTCTTAAGCTTAACACATCAGAAATGTCGGAGAAATGATCTTTTGAATTGTATTTTTAAAACTTTATTTCGTATTGTTATTGTAAGATAAATGTTTGCCTTTCTATTGGTTTGCAGAATGCATTGGCCTCAATGAGAACTCCCAGTTATGTTGGTGAAATCATCTGTACAGGCGTCCATACTGGAAGCCTTCCACCTTGTATTGTTGGGATGAGGGTTCTTCCTATGGAAATGAGTGAGGTATGGGGCTTTGAAGTTGACATTGAATACCCTGGTGGTGCATTATTAGATATTGAATCAAGGCTTGAAGTTGGTGAACTAGATAATGCTTCAGGGGTAGGAGACTCAGATCGAGACTCGCCTGATTCTGTAGATGTCTCATCAGATCTTCTTCAAGGTCTTGAGGATCTTGGAAAACATTTAAATCTTTCAGATGGAATGGGTGATGCACAAGATCCAAAAGGAGATGATGAATTTAACACTGGTTAGTATGTGTCCTTATATAACTTTTCTCCAATGAATTTTCTATTCATCTGATGGCCTGTCAATTTTCTTGACTCTTGGATGTAGTTTTGCCATGAAAATGGGGATTAATGGATACCAGAGTGGTAGCTTTAAGAACACCTTTCCATGCAATTAAACTTGGCTATTTTGGATCTGATATGTTGATTTCAAGCTTCAACTAAGGTGTAGTTTTCTTGACAATTCAGTGAGGAAATATACAAATTATGAAATTCAGTATGCTCTTCATCATTTTCTTAATGATGATCAGTATTTAAGTACAGCAACCATTGTGTTTTAACTTGTACCATTGTGGCTACACATGATTACTTATTCAATCATTATTGTCAAGCTTTTTACAGCAAATTGCAATAACAAATAAAGGTTGTTTATGTGATTTGTTCTCCTTGAAATTTGAGATAGCATTTTTTTTATAATTAAAAACACCTGGTTCCAAGTTCAAACTCCACTCATCTCTAACTTAGGTGCTTATTTAGGTCACGCTTTTTATGGAAAAGATAGTTTTGGGGTTTTTGCTATAGATTTTCTTTTTCTTGTTTATCCAGGGGGATGTCTCGTCAACTGTTCCACTTCCCAGTGCTGCTTTTTGCTTCTCTTTCTAATCAAGTTTCCAAGAGAATGAGTATTTTTTATATCCAAGAGCATGGAACAAAACATGTAGCTTGACAACGTGAACTTGTTCTATGTATTTTTCCTCTGCAGATATTTCTAAGAATGTTAAGAGCACCACAGCTTGCTCAACCTATGGATCTCGGTGGAAATCTATAGTAAATTCCATTGCCAGACAGGTTTCACAGGTACTGTCTTTCTTTTTTAGTTTTTTCCCGTCCTTATTTTCATCAGTCTCTTGTTTTTTCTTTCAATAAAAAAAATTATTGATTAGAAGAGAGGATAGAACAAAGTTAGAAAACAAAAGACAAGGAATCCAAAGTTTGATAATTGCCTAGAAAAGCCATTTATGAAGTCTGTAACAGAATTTGTTGATCTTTAGAAAAACTTTTTCAGAGTCATGCTTCTAACAAAGTTTGATACTCGCCTAGAAAAGCCATTTGCAGAAACCAACAAAGAGGACATACAGAAAATTCCAAGAAGAATGGTTGATAGTCAAAACCACGGTTTAGGTTCACCATTAACTATAATAGTCAAGACTCCTTAACATTGTAATTTGGTTGTTTGAAATGGCTCCACTCTGATCTCTCTCCTTTTCCCTCTCACATTAGTTAAATTGCATACATTACATACTTGAACTGTCCAACCCCGTTATGTGATGATAGTTCAGTTAAGCTCTTGTCCTTTCCAATCAAATATGGAGCTGAACAAGCCTCTATTGGTTGTAATCAGTTTGTTCATGTTAACTTTTTCTTAATGGCTTTTGTAGTCTAAGGGAAGTAAATATAGGAGAATTAGTTTTTTTTTTTCTTTTTCGAGTCTAACTTTTTTCCTTCAACTGTTTCTTGTTGAAAGGTTCCTTTCTCTTTGACAATAAGAATAACATCACTCAGGGGAACCCTACGTCTACAAATAAAGCCTCCTCCCTCTGATCAATTGTGGTATAGTTTCACGTCTATGCCAGACATAGAATTTAACTTGGAGTCATCTATTGGAGAACATAAGATAACTACTGGACATTTAGCTTTGTTCCTGATCAATCGAATTAAGGTATGATGGATCTTCCCATTTTTTTTATAACATATGACACGGTTCTAAGTTAAATATCACTCTTGCGACTTTTATTTAGTTTTTATTCAGGGTGTACATGTTTTGCTCATTGCCATGTCCTTTGCATTTGATCTCTTTACAAAAACATCACATGTTGCAAAAGTATCTATAAGGATGTGCAGGGAGGAATTTTTCTCTGGAATTGCAAAGGGAGAATTTTAACTTTCAATTCCAGTGACCCTTGCAAACTGAAGTCTTATCCGCCGTTGCAGGCACTAATTCGGGAAACTTTAGTGCTTCCAAATTGTGAAAGCATATGCGTTTCGTGGATGCTTGCAGAAAAAGATGATTGGGTACCCCAGGAGGTTGCTCCATTCAAATGGGTTAACCAAGAATCCAGAAAGGAGACTTCCACTTCAAGTGATGCCCCAACTCAGCATCCGGATAATGCAAGTGATAGTTCAGAGCACAAACAGAAAAAACCAGATAGCATTGAAGTGCCATGTCGGAAATCAGCAGATTCTTTAACAATTCCATCCAGTTCCACTAATTTACCAAGAAGCAGAAGTTTAGATGATTTGACAACACCTTTGTTGGGGGATGATTACAAACCCCGTGAAACTAGTGAACAGGGTGGGGAAGATCCCCAGCTAGCAAGGAATGTGGAAGGAGTATCCCATGCCATTGAGCGGGATGACTCAAGGCGAAAGAAAATGGGGACACGAGAAAAGATGCTTGATTTGAGGAAGAAGATGAGTGAGAAATTTGAAGAAAAGAAGCGTCATATTGAAGAGAAGGGTCGGAACTTTGTCGACAAGATGCGGGAGCGTGAGAGATATTGATATTGATCCCATGAACAGAATGCGTATACGTGTTTATGCTCAGATAGATCATGATGAATTTCATTGCTAAGCTGTATATTTCTAGGTGCTTAGAAAACATTAAATAAATTTCGCATTATATGTTCATTTATTGACTATACAATATTCTTGACCCTGGAAATGCCAGAGAAGTCATATTGAATTTCATGTGTGCTTAGAGATGATATGATATATGTTCAGCACGTTAGCTTTCATATTCACTTTCATTTTTTATTTAGCAGCTATAAGGACCATACAAGCAGTTGTCGCTTTTGTGGGTTTATGTTCTGTGAATTTTGCTGACTTAAATTGGAATCTTCAAAAATTCGAAGTCTAAGTACTGTATGCAGTCAAATTCTGTTAATTACAGTCAAGATACAAAATCTTGAAACTTAGTTTCTCAGATTTGTGTATACGTCAGCACTGTGAGCAACTTAAATTTTATTTAATTCAAAATTAATGTAGACTTTCATAAACAACAACTATTGACAAAGGATCATCGGCTGACTTTTTGTCTTTTGGATTCATTTCTTGATTGTGAAACACTTGGGTAGATCTTACATGTTTTTAACTTGACTTTGAATCCAGTTCAAAAATTGAATGTGCGGACATACATGTAAAGATAAAATTCGAAATGAGTACGTACGCGAAAAAGTGAGGGTGGCACCTATTGAGGAAAAAATGGTAGAAAATCGGTTGAGATAGTTTGGGCATGTATAAAAAAGACCAAGGGAGGCACCAGTGAGAAGAGTGGAACATATAACTTTGAGTCCGATTAAGAGAGGTAGAGGAAGGTCTAAGAAAACACTTTTAAAAATTATTGAACACGATCTCTTAATTAATAATATTCCTAAAAGCTTAATAAATGATAGAGCACAATGGCGTCTTGCAATCTATGTAGCCAACCTCACCTAGTGGGATAAAGGCTTGTTGTTGTTGTTGTATTAGTCGTATTCTAATTAATGTCTATAGCCTATTTTACGAAAATTTCTCCTCTTGTCTGCTCTTTGGTTTTTAATGTGAATATAACTGTTATCTTCCCCTTGAGGATTTCATTTGTTTATAGGTCTGAATTTATAGTTAACCAGCTGCATCAAAGGATTCAAGTTGATTCAAACATTGGGGATCATGCTGATTCAGTGAACTGAAAATTATAAATCTATAGAATCATGGAAAATAGAGAAACATTTGAAATCATTATTGTATTGAAATATTCAAGAGATTTCGATGTTCAGATGATACAAATAATACAGAAACATATGATAATGTCTTTTTTATTCATGTATTTCTATATATGTATATTTTTTTTCTTGTAAAATAAATTCCAGTTTATTTTCTTCTTCTTGAACCCTTGAATGCCAGCTAACTTGTGCATCTCCTTCATTGCTTTGGAAATGGGTTAATTAGCTGGGAGTAAGAACATACATCTTGCAAGCATGTGAATCCAATTCAGCAGAAATTTGTCCAGAAACTGATGTTTGTGTTGAGTGCTGCAACATATTCATAACAAAACAGGGAAAATCACAATCTACCTATATAATAGACCTAAAATCATCAATACTAATATAAATAAATATATATATATATATATATATTCAACGAGCAAAATTACGACTTACTGTTAAGTTCCATACAAAAAGCAAAGCATTCAGTCTAATTATAATAAAAATTAACCATGAGCCATACATCTCTGACCTGCCATAAATCTCGAGCATCTACAACTTTTTGTGGTTCCAAGCTTAAGTCAGACCAATATGCAGTCACAGTTGCTTTTGATGAACTTCTGTTCCATAAAACCACTGCTATTTTGTTATTACTGAGAGGACCAGCCCAAACCTATCATCACATTTTTCCTAGTTCAGTTGAATCTACAATATGCCAAAACTTGAAGTGTGTACATATAATTATATTATATTTAAGATAAACAAAAAGATGTTACCTCCAAACCAGCTTCACTTTTTATTTTCCTTCCTTGAACTCCTAGGTTGTCTGCAATATCACAAGAAGATATGTGTAAGTTTTTGAGCTTTTTTATTGGGCTTATGAAGAAAGGTAGGTTGTCATATGGCTTCATGCCTTGGTTGACAGCAATAACTTCCTTATTGGATAGCAGTTCCAATGTTGTAGAATCCATAGTTCGAACGTCACAGCCAATCAACAAAGGAGCCTTCATATATATAGACATAAAAACATGCATTAACAAGGATGTTTATACTAGAAAACACATTCTCTCTTGAATGTAAGACTATAATGATTGGTAATATGTCTTAATATCTAATATTGTATTTTGCTTACTTTAGCTAATGCCCAAATGCTGTAATGAGATCGATATTCTTCAGTTGTCATTCCTCCATTTCCAACTTCTAGCATATCTGGATCTGTTCCCATATTTTGTAGATATAATGTCACCTCTTAATTATATATTTACTCTTATTGATTTAACAACAACAACAACAACAACATATAATTAATAATTGAGGTTAATTACCATTCCAACCTCTAGGTCCAGCATAAGATGCCCATTTGTCATTTGCATCCGCAATAGTTGTCATACTGGCAAGAAAGTAATTTATATTTTTAATTATCTATGAAAAAAATTAATTTAAAATGAATATTTACTAATGTTAATATTGTGCCTTTCCCATTTATCTTCAATATCTCCTGTTGTTCTCCAGCTATTGCCTACACTTTTGGCCCAAAGTGCTGGGCCCTCTGATCCCCTGCAAGTTCATAAAAAACAAGCTTATCATAGATAAATAAATAATGCACATTCTTAAACTTGCTCTAATATATATTATTTTAAATTCTAGACATGCTTGTCCTGAAAGTTATTTCAGAAGAGTGACATTATATATGTCAACATATGAAAACCAGTACTAGCTTGTTTGTCTGTCAGAAACATAGTCACTGATTAATGGACTTACCATTCACACATGGAGAAGTAGATTTGCCTCCTCCCAGAGTTTAATAAAGCTTCAGACATTTTAGGGTACCTGTATATGTGTTATGTTCATCCATACAATAATTTCCTGAGTCTCAGATTCATAGATAGTGTCAAGAGAAACATGTATGGATTTGATGGCCAAAAATATACACCTCTCTTTTGCTGTTATATTACTATTCTCACAATTGTCGTACTTCAAGAAATCCACACCCTAAAAAACATTCAAAGAGAATCTACTTAAATTTTTATATATTTAAACAAGAAGCTGATTAAATAAAAGAGTTCGAAACTATATATCTATTTATAAGGTATATAAGAATTTTTTTTTTGGTTTATTTTAAGAAATGTCATTAACTTTTTATTACAAATATCTTCTTTTACCCCTATTAAATGTTAGTGAGGAAAAAAATACTCCCGTTTTTATTCATAGGAGAAAATATCACTTTTAGTCTGTTTTTTTATAAGCAAAATCACATTTTTCAATAGGCACTTATTAGAAACTTTTTTAATTATCTCTCATAATTTAATAAAGAAATAATTAATGAAGACCTAATTAACACAATTAATAAAGGATATTGTAGTCCAATTCTTTTATTTTTAGACATAATTAACATAGTTAACTGATGTTCTTAAATTGTGTGATACAGTTTTTTTCTTCTACAAATAGAAACGGATGGAGTAAGCTATTAAAGTTTGTATATTTAATAGGGGTAAAGTTGAAAACTTATTAAAGAGAACTAACAAGTTTTATAAATAGGATTTGAGGAAGTGCATATATATATATATATATATCTCTATATATTATATTTAGGTCATGTGCTGTTTTTGTGTGTGTGAATACCCAGGAAGCAAATGTTTTTGCATCTTGCTCTTCATGTCCTAGTGATCCAGGCATTTGCTTACTACACGTTTGAGTGCTGCAGAAAAGTTAATTATTTTTAGATATATATTATAGATATTTAGCAACACTAATGATGATGAACTTGCTTGCAATTATGGACCAAAGTTATTTTAAGGTTATAATTAAATGCAGATACCCAGCGTCTGAATAAATGCCAAACTTCAGTCCTTTGCTATGAACATAATCAGCCAAAGCCTTAATTCCGGATGGAAATTTTGAAGCTTTTGGAACCATATTTCCCTGCCATATTTTAATTTTAATTTTAGATATAATAAATAAACAAAAAAATATATAAAATAAAATAAAATTTAAGCTAACAAAAAAAAAAGTCAATGTACTTATACCTCCGAGTCTCGATGTAGTTCAGCCCAGCAATCATCTGAAGTCCAACAAGAAAAAGATATTTAGAAATAGTTTTGTATCAATAAAAATGTCATATTTGCATTCAGATAATGTAATTATGTAATTAATTATTTAGAAACTTATATTACCATACCTAAATTAATATATTGGTATCCTAAATCTGCAAGGCCCGTTGACACCACTGCATCAGCTGTAATTCAGAAAACATCGTAGTACAATTTTTTTTTGGTCTAAACTTTGAATATTTTTTTGCGTAAATATTTATATTACAAAATTACTTACCTGTTTCTCTAACCATCTCCTCGTTAATGTCACACTGAAAATGGTTCCAGCTATTCCATCTGATCACCATTAATTCATTAATTATTTGTTGTGTATATCATCTTTTGATAATGTAAGAGGACTGATATATAAAAGTTGAATAATTGTTGATTAACAGTCACACACACATACTCCCTCCGGTCCTATTTTATAAATTAATTATAGTATATTTCATTGAAATTAAAAAAAATTCTTAAATATTGTTAACTCTGTCTTAATAAACTTTAATAAGTTTATACTTTTACTCTAATAAGAACAAAAATAATTATTTTTAATACCTTTTCCTATAGCATTTAATAAGGGTACATAGAAATGTAAAAATGAACATAGAAAAATAATGAAATTTCTTATAAATAGAATTAAAATTAATTTTTTTCTCTGTTCTACAACTAGGATTAGAGGAGTACATAATTTTTTTTTTGAAATATTGGGGGGTAAACCATTTTGCTTATTTATACATCCGCAAAATAATATATCAATATATATAGTCTTGGAATATGATTACTAAGAGTCTCAAATATATCACTTTCTTTTATATTAAGACAAAATTAAAGTTATAAAACTAAAGATTTACAATACAATTAAAGAGAGAAAGTAAAATGATATCAAATAATTAAGTAATTTTCAACGGTTAGATCAATTTCAAAAAGCATGCAATATTCAAATGTCTTTGCTTGAAGGTAATTAATTTAGTTCGTTGAATTTTGCAATAAAATTCAGAGTGCGTCTGCCTCATACATGCCCGTAGGTGGCTAGTTCCTTATTTTTTGGGTTCTTCCTTTTGTCAATAAAAAATTATATAGTTATATATATATATATATATATGTATGTATGTATATATAAAGAAATTAATCGGTGGACGTCCAACTTGGGACGAAAATGCATTCATTTGCGTAATGCGTGTAGTTTAATTTGTCTGTTCATGTAGTTTATACACATACAGACAAATGCCACCACATGGGGCATGTCATGCTATATTCAGTAAGTACGTGGCAAAACCCGAGGGCTTTAATTAATTTTTATTTTCATGTTCAAAATTGAAATGAAGAGTTAATCAAAACTCGCCACAATACATGTTTTCTCCCATGAAACGAGCTTTAATTTTTCCACACACACACACACAGAGACTCATATTGTTCATAAATTACATATCAAATTATTATAAATCAACATGTAGAATATAAAGAAAATTGCGTTATTTATAATTCATCAATAATAGGCTCATTTCTTAAACTTCATCCAAACACATAAAACCCAGTCTAGTTCTATCTAATATGATTATATATTGATTTAAGAAATTAATAATATATTAGATATAATACTAACATTAAAAAAGCAAAATAACTAAGTATCAACTAGAAATAAGCCCCTTGCATCTGCATCAACCTTAATATAAACAGTTGATATATATATATATAGGGGGAGAGAGAGAGAGCAAAATAAAAACAGTGATATTATCATCAATTATTAATATTGACAGGCCACTAGATTATCAATAGATTCCTGAAAATGAAATCAGAGAAGAGATATATTGATGGATGAAGAAGAGAAGTTTGGGTTGAGATTAATTATAATTGAAGAAAACGGAAAGAGAGACTTATAATTATTATACATCAATAATATAACTTACCCCATAGGAGGAGCCTGACCAGCTCCATTTTCAAAAAGTATTATTTCTTCTTCTCTGTTTGTGTCCAACAAACGACCGCCACATGAACAAGAGGCGTTCAATACCACAAACATGAAGAAGCACAGGCTAAGCCCTTCCATTTCTGTCTGATCTATGTGTTCAGAAGATCTAAGAAGAAGAAGAAAGGTTGGGAGATAGCTATAAGTATTAGGTTTAGGATCTCTCTCACACACACACACACACATGTATATATACACACATATACGTATGTATGTATGTATGTACATATGTTTGTATGTACATGTACATGCATAATGTATATGTGTATGTGTATACGTACGTAGAAGCAGCTAGCGGTTTGATAGTTTTTGTTGACGCACATATTTAATCTATTTCTATCCTCATCAACATCGATTTATGTCAACAGACAAAAGCTGAGTTATTTTCTTTCTTTCTTTCCCTATTTATTTTTCAAATTGAATTTCTGCACTAGCTGCATTTACAGCAAGTATAATAAGGCATGCAAAGTACAGCTGGTTGGATTTTAGTATATAAGGATATTATACTGATACATACATAACTAATGGCCTCGAAATTGTTTTAATGGTTTGACATCATGACCATGAATGTTCCGAAAGGTTTCTAATGGTTTAGTTTCAAATAGAAAAAAGTGAGATTATATTCTCATAATTGATCGTAACTCTCTGGAATTAGGGCACTGCAACACCCACGCTTTTTATATATTGTCTCATATAAAATGGCTTAATAATTAGTATCAGTAAATAGAAAAAACTTATATACTTAAAGTACTTATTTTAAATTAAATTAAATTAAAACATGTGAATCTTTTTATATATTATTTATTCTATAACAAACTCTTATTATTAATTTAATCAACACATTAAATTTACTTATCTTGATTTGATTAAATAAAAATATATTAAGTATATAAGGTTAAGTGTCCAAATCTTGTCCGTAGTTATATAGTAAGGAGACAAGTGGAAGTTTAATTTTATTTTGTTTTCTTCCATTCAAATTATTGTATGCTATCTTCAATCCCAATTAATGAAAGAAATTAGGGTACTTTGTCACCTCCATTGGTAATCATTCTATTATGGTGAATAGTTGTTTTAATACAGAAGTTAGATTTGTTAGAAACTTCTAGGGCATTTAAGATGGATGTTGAGGGTGAAAATTAATGAAAATATATTGTGAATTTGAATGCTAGTGAAATGTTTTATATAAAGTTGTCAAACTCATAAATTTAAGCAAACTCATAATGAGAATGTAAATTTGAATCGTAAATTTGGATTGTAAAGTTGTAAGAGTTTACCTCTATTAATGAATATCTATTAAAAATTTATATTTAAAATATAAAATATGGACATAATTTGATTTAAATATATTTTAAATATAAATCATTGAAATTAAATCCATATATAATTGATAGATTTATCATACTTAACACACAAATTTTAAAATCAGGAAACTTAGAGCATGTTTGTTTTCTGTTTTTAAAATCTGTTTTTTGTTTTTGAAAATAGAAAATTTTAATTTTTTTTTGAATAAGTGTTTTTCATTTGGTTATTTCCAAAACTGCTTTCATTTTTTGCTTTGAAAAACAAAAAAATAGAAGCAACTTCAAGTTGTTTTCATTTTATTTTTTATTTTTAAAATACACTACATTTAATTATTAAAAATTATAGTTACCTTAATTAATTCTATCATAAATCACCACCATTAAATTTCTATAACAATCACTATTAGTCTATTTTTTAATTTTAAACTATTTTTTAATTGGCATAATGAAACAAATTTTCATTTTATTTTGTTTTAAAAATAATTTTGAAAACTATATTACAAAACAATTTTTTAAAAATAAAAAATGAGAAATGAAACCAAACAAGCCATTATTTTTTGTATTTCTTTTTTTCTTTTTTATTAATATTCAAGTTTTGCTTTCTTGAATTTTTTTTTCTTTGAATCAGGTCCTACTGTTTCGATAAACTGAGTTCTATACAGTATATGTCTAACTCACTTAACTGGTAAAAAATTAATGAGTTTGTATTTGGTTTAAGTTTATGAGCACGTTGCATGATTTTGTAAGCTGAAAATATAAAATAGGAAATTGAGAGAGTTAACTCAAAGATTTGACAACAATGATTTTATATTTTATCACGTTTTGTCACTCCTGATCATGATTTGTGATTTGAGACCATTTGATTATGGGGATATAGATTCATCTCTGGATGTTCGAAAATTTCACAAATATTTTTCCCAACCAAAAAGATACAAAACACATAAGAAAATTTTTAATGCAAAAAACTCTTGAAAACTAAGAAGAATAATAGTTGAAAAGCTTGACACAAGATATTTATTCTAGTTAAGCTCAACCACTCGGCTTACATCTAGTTTTCAAAATCACCTTTGAGATTTATCACTAAAAACACAAGTTTAAGTGAGTATTAGCCACCACAGTACAACTTATAAGATTACATTGATTTTAATTTAACACAACACCTCTTACTAAACCAGTAAGCTGTTACGAGATACTTAGAAAATTGCTTTCTACAATTTCAATCAATAAATGAAAAAGCCTTCCACAATAATAACATTATGAAAGAGTAGATGTAATAACAATAAAAAGTTATAAACTTTTGAGAGCTTTTTCACTAAATTTAACAGAAAATTAGTGAGAATTGAATGCAAATCACTTTAATTCTCAATGAATGTGTTACCACTCTCTTAAATAAGGTCCTATATATAGTTTTAAGTTTGTTAAGATAATTAGGAACATTAGGGAAATGTTTATAGCTATTGAAGACGTACAGAAGTGAAAAATAAAAAAGCCACTTTTTTCGTGTTCAATTAAATGCTTGTGAGAGGCCAAATCAAGTGTGATTTGGAAGGTGTCACTCATGGAATGACATTAAGGCAAAGGTTTTGATTCACTTTAGCTAAATCAAGCGTGAGGCTATAATGAGTTCAAGCGCTTTTTGGAAGACAAAAGCACTTAGCTTCTATGTGACTCAAAACAAGTATGGGTACACTAAGGGATCAAGCATGGAAAGGATTGTAGAAGAACCTTGCTTCTCTATTGGCTAAAACATGCTTAACTCACTTTTGAAACAAGATTGATCTAGCTTGTTCAGTTTAAGGCTCTCTAAGTCAAGCTTTAAAGTTTCCAAGTGTAAAACCCATTCAAGCGTGATTCAATCCAGAGTCACGCATGGATGGGAACTAAAGAACACTTTAAGTTGACACATAGGGACAATTCAAGAGTGGACACTAAATGTACTCAAGTATGAATCAAAATACAGAAGCATGTCCAAGACATTTGCCTAGTTACACTGATTGCCAAAACACACATGAACTATTTTTGGATCAAGCGTGGATTGGACCATAATGTTGAACTTCACTTTTGAAGTCTAATTCAAGTAAGTTTCAGTTTTAGTTCAAGCTTAAATTGGATACACTAAGTCCTAACATGCACAAGGGATTGCCAAAACATGTGTGGACCTATGGCAAATCAAGCGTGGATTGAATAAACAAACAAGGGTGCATTCTAAGAATTTGACACTTAAGTTCAAATGACTTATGAGCCTAAGGATAGTTATAATATGATGCATTCTTACCATTTTCAAAACATGTGGCGTAGCTCTTATTAGTCTTCACGTTTGAATTTAGAAGAACACTAAATCTTATATTGATCTTCATGCTTTTAGAGGTTTTGTTACTTTATTAATATGTATGATATGTACAAAAAACAAACACCTTTCTTTTAGTTTTGTTATCATCAAAATACATAGTTTAATATATCTCCCTCGAGGTATGGAAGGAGAAAGGTAGATCTCTCCCAACTAAATTGCTATATATACAAGAGTTGGGATTCAAACCTCCAGTCACTACTTGTTTAAGTGATGAGAACCCTCACTACTTAAGCCAACTTTAGTTGATATATTTTCCCATTCATTTTATGTATGCTTGAGGGTGCACTTATGTCTAAATATTTTTTTTATTTAACAATGTTGCTAATTAGATAATCTTACAATACTTCCGAGATACTTGAGATCACATGTTTGGCGCAAAGAAAAATTCATCTACATGTAGTAATACTTATTTTGTGTGAATGGCATAAAATCTATAAACCCTAATTCTCTATCATTGATCAAGAATTAATAATACGTATTTTGCATAGATGGCGTGAAATCTATAAATCCTAATTCTCTATCATCGATCAAGAATTAATTAATTAATATGTATTTTGCGTAGATGGCATGAAATCTATAAACCCTGATTCTCTATCATTGATCAAGAATTATAATATAGATTTTGTGCTTTATAAAAAAATAATATAGATTTTGTGTAGATGACATGAAATCTATAAACGCTAATTCTCTATTATAGTAGCATGATGCATTAAGAAAGGCTAAAAGGGGAATACCTGAAATTGAGAATTCGTAAATCTCATGAAGTTTACCTTTTAAAAAGAAAAGTGAGAATATTTTATGTTTTATAAAAATAATAAAATGTGGAAAAATACAAAAAAAAAATTTACATATAAATTCATGAATATCAATTTTCGAAGATTTAGATCTTAAGAAAAGAGATAGATATACATGAGGTGAATGGTTCTATATATCTCTTTCTCTCGATCGTCTTGTAGTATTGTGCTAGAAGAAAGATAAAACCAAAATTAGTCTACTATTTTGTGTACGTTTGTGAAAGTTTGTCTTCTTGAAATGCATCATATATTTTATCTACAGCTGCCTTAGTGTATGTTATAAGGATACTTTGTTATCTTAATTGTTTGACATTTGGATCTAAATGTTTCATATATTTCCGTGTTATTTTATTTTGATGAAATGTTATTTTGTTTTATATAGGTAGGAACTTCGTGTTGTCTGTCATTCTAATTAACATTGTTTTTCTTGCAAGATTTAATGTTGATTATTTGATTTCTTCCAAGATTTAATTAACATTGTTTTTCTTGCAAGATTTAACATGTCTATATTGATTATTTGATATATATATATTCTATGGTGTTTAGTGTTTATTTCTTTCTTTATTACACATCTTTCGCAATTACATATTCTCGTACATATAGACATTCTTCTTCTATTGACTTTTACTATTAATT